GCATCATCATGATCGTCATCATCATCAGCATCATCAGAATGATCAGATTCATCAGCATCATCAGCATGATCATTATTCTCATCATCATCCTCATCATCAGATTCATCGTCAACATCCGCATCAACAGCATCAGCATCATCGTCGTCATCACCACCATCATCATCATCAGCAGCATCATCATCAACATCAGCATCAACATCATCATCATCATCAGAAGCAGCATCATCAGCACCATCATCGTCATCATCAGCAGCGGCGGCCTCATCAGCATAATCAGCAGCATCAGCATCGTCAGCATCATCATCGTCATATCATCATCAGCAGCACCACCACCAGCATCATGATTCATCATCAGCATCATCATCAGCAGCATCATCAGCAACAACACCATTGTCATCCCCATCCTCCTTATCAGCAGCATCTCCATCAGAATCATCATCAGCATCATCAGCACCATCATCATCGTCATGATCATTATCATCGTCAGCATCATCATCATCATCATCATCATCATCATCCGCATCCTCATCATCATCAGCATCCGCATCCGCCGTCGCATCCGCATCTGCATCCGAACCCTCCTCCACCTCCTTCTCCTACTCCCCCTCCACATCAGCAGCATCGTCTTCATCACTACCATCAGCGACTGCATCATGCGTCCTCCTCCCTCCCCCTTCGCCTCCGCCTCCTCCACCTTCACTTCCCCCGCCTCCCCTTCCTTTCACTCTGCCTCCTCCTCCTCCTCCTCCTCCTCATCCTCCTCCTCCCCCTCCGCATCATCATCAGCATCATCAGCATCATCATCACCAGCATCATCATCAGCATCGTCAGCATCGCCGTCGTCATCATCAACAGCATCAGCATCATCATGAGCATCAGCATCATCATCATCGTCATCATCATCAGTGTCACAATCATACCATCATCATCATCATGAGCATCACCACCACCAGCATCATCATAATCACGAGCATCATCATAAGCATCAGCACCATCATCAACATCATCATCGTCGTCATCATCGGCATCGTCAGCATCATCACCAGCATCATCATCATCATCATCATCATCATCATCAGCATCATGCATTACCAGCACCATCGTCATCGTCATCATCATCATCAGCATCACAAAAATCATCATCGTCAGCATCACCACCCACATCATCATCGTCATCATCATAAGCATCATCAACATCATCATCATCATCAACGGCATCATCATCATCAGCATCATCATCATCATCATCAGCATCATCATCAGCATCATCATCATCAGCATCACCAGCATCGTCAGCAGCATCATCAGCATTATCAGTATCAGCATCATCAGCATCACCATCATCGTCAGCATCATCAGCGTCAACATCATCATCGTCATCAGCAGTAGCGGCATCATCATCAGTAGCATCATCATCATCAGCAGCATCATCAGCATCAGCATCGGTATCAGTACGATTATCATCAGTATCATCAACAGCATCATCATCAGCAGTCGCATCATCAGCATGTTCAGCATCAGCATCGGCATCATCATCATCGTCATCATCATCATCAGCAGCATCAGCATCATCAGCATCATCATCATCAGCATCATCATCATCAGCATCATCATCATCGTCAGCATCATCAAAAGCAGCAGCAGCAGCATCAGCATCATGAGCATCAGCAACATCAGCATCAGCTTCCTCAGCAGCACCACCACCAGCATCATGATTCATCATCACCATCATCATCATCATGATCAGCATCGACATCGGAAGCATAAGCAGCATCACCATCACCATTACCACGATCGTCATCATCAGCATCCTCATCATCACCTCAGCATCATCATCATCAACTGCAGCAGCTGCAGCAGCAACATCAACATGATTAGCAGCATCATCACCACCACCATCATCATCATCAGCATCATCAGCATACTCACCCTCATCAGAATCATAGTCATCATCATCATCATCGTCATAATCATACTCATCAGCATCATCATCATCATCATCATCATCATCATCATCATCATCCGCATCCGCGTCCGCGTCCACAGCCGCCGTCGCATCCAGATCCGCATCCGCGCCCTCGTCCAAACTCATCAGCAGCAGAATCCCCACTACTGTCAGCGACAGCATCGTGCGACCTCATCCCACCCCCCCCCTCCACCTCCCCTTCCTCCTCCTCCTCCTTCCCCTCCCCCTCCAACTTCTCCTCCTCCGCCTTACCATTATCAGCATCATAATCATCAGCATCACCATCATCATCATTATCATCATCAGCAGCATCATCAGCATCATCACCATCATCCGCATCAGCATCATCATCAGCATCAGCATCATCAATATCAGCATCATCAGCATCATCAGCATCATCATCGTCATCGTCATCGTCATCATCATCGGCGTCGGCATTATCATCACCAGCATCACCACCACCAGCAGCAGCATCACCATTATCAGCGTCATCAGCATCATCATCATCAAAATCATCATCCGCATCCGCATCAGCATCAGCATCCGCATCCGCTTCAGCATCCGCATCGACATCATCATCACCACAGACATCACGAACAGCATCATCATCACATCCTTATCATCGCATCAGCAGCATCACCATCGCATCAGCATCAGTACCAGCATCACAGCATCAGCATCATCAGTACCAGCATCATCATCAGCAGCATCAGCATCAGCATCATCAGTACCAGCATGATCATCATCATCAGCATCACCATCTTCATCATCAGCATGAGAAAATATCATCATCACCAGCATCAGCATCATCATCATCATCATCAGCATCCCCATCAGTATCAGCGTCATCAACATCATCATCGTTCCCAGCAGCATCATCATCATCAGCATCAGCATCAGCATCAGCATCAGCATCATCATCATCACCAATGGCATTAGCGGTATCATGGTGATCAACATCACCATCAGCATCAGCATCGTCATCAGTGCCATCATCATCACCATCATCATCATGAGCATCCTCAGCATAATCCGCATCATCATCAGTAGCACCATCATCGTCATCGTCATCGTCATCATCGACATCATCATCATCACCAGCATCAGCAACATCCTCATCCCAACCATCGTCAAAGCATCAGCACCAGCATCGTCATCATCAGTGGCATCGTGATCATCATCATCGTCGTCATCAGCAGCATCATAAGCATCATCAGAATCGTTATCAGCATCAGCTGCATCAGCAACAAGAGCATCATCATCATCCGAATCAGCATCGGCTTCACCATCGTCGACATCAGCATCATCAGCATCATCGGCATCAACATCAGTATCGGCCTCGAAATCACAAGCATCATCACCAGCAACATCACCCCCATCATCAGCATCATCAGCATCCTCATCATAATCATCCTCATCATCACCCATCATCGTCATCATCATCATAAGCCGCACCATCACCATCAGCATCATCATCAGCATCAGCTGCAGGAGCTGCAGCGGCAACAACATCAACATCATCACCATGATCCGTCTCCGCGTTCGCATCCGCCGTCGCATCCGCATCAGCATCCGCATCCTCTTCCTCACTCATGAGCAGAATCACCACGACTGTCAGCGGCAGCATATTGCGTGATCATTCCTCCCCCTCCCCCTCCCCCTCCCCCTCCTCCGTCCCCTCCCCCTCCATCTCCTCCTACTCCTCATCCACATCCTCCTTGCTATTATCAGCATCGCCACCACCACCACCATCGGCAATCAGCATCATCACCAGCATCCTCATCATCATCATCATCATCATCATCATCATCATCATCAGCGACGTCATCATCATCATCATCATCATCATCATCATCATCATCAGCAGCGTCATCATCAGCGTCATCATCAGCATCCTCATCAGCATCAGTATCATCATCATCATCATCATCATCATCATCAGCATCAGCATCATCATCATCAGCATCATCATCATCATCATCATCGGCGTCGTCATGGTGATCATCAGCATCATCAGCATCATCATCATCATCATCATCATCATCAGCAGCACCATCAGCACCATCATCGACATCATAAGCGCCATCAGCATCATAGCCAGCATCATCATCACCATCATCATCATCATAGTCAGCATCATCAGCATTAGAATCATCATCGTCATCACCATCAGTATCATCAGCATCATCTGCAGTACCATCAACGGCAGCATCAACATCATCAGTATCAGCATCAGCATCAGCATTACCATCGTCGTGAACATCATCATGAGCATTACCATCAACAGCAGCATCAACATCATGATCACAATCACCAGCCACATCAGCTTTAGCGTCATCATCATCTCGCATCATCATCAGCATCAGCATCATGAGCATCATCGCCATCATCATCAGCATCAGCATCAGCGTCATCATCCTCATCATCCTCATCAGCAGCGTCATCATCACTACCAGCATCATCATCATCATCATCATCATCATCAGCATCATTCCAGAAATCATTCATCCTCCTCAGCAGTTTCTCGAGCAGCAGCAGCAGCATCATCATCATAATCATCATCGTAACCATCATCATCATCATCACCAACATCACCATCATCATCATCATCATCATCCTCATCATCAGCATCATCATCATCATCATCGTCATAATCAGCATCATAATCATCATCAGCATCATCAGCATCATCATCAGCTGCAGCAGCTACAGCAGCATCAGCATCAGCAGCAGCATCAGCAGCATCATCATCGTCATCAGCATCATCACCAGCATCATCATCAGCATCAGCATCACAAACATCGTCGTCATCATCATCCTCAGCATCCTCACCATCCTCATCACCACAATCATCATCATCGTCATCATCATCATCATCATCATCCTCCTCATCATTATCAACATCATCATCGTCAGCATCATCGTCATCATCAGCATGATCATCATCATCATCATCATCATCATCATCATCATCATCATGATCATCATCAACATCATCATCATCCCTCTCCTCCCTTCCCTCCTTCCGTGAAGCCTCGCAGGACTGGGCGTCCACAGCGCGGAGCTCGAAGTTGTGGAGGTGGCGGCCGCCGCGGACCTGCGGGGCGGACGAACGAGAAGGCCTCGCGGCCGACGTCAACTCCTCCAAATCGACGACCTCTTCGGAGGCAACTCCTGGAAGATCTTCGCAAGAACAACTACGTAAGGTTTACTGGGCACGATGAAGGGGCCATTGAGCGTTCTGTGGCGAATCATGGGAAGCCCCCCATGTCATCTTACTGGAACTTGCGAATCGACGCTAACCGACGCACATCGGCGCTAATCGAGGCTAAGTCGACGCGAAACATCGCTGAATCAGCGCTTTATCATCGATTACCGAACGCTAGCGCTCTCTCATCCACTGTGAAGGCGGAATTGCGAGAACAAGCAAGGATCCCATGAATTGCTACCGACTAAGCCGCATGAGCCCGGATTTGGCCCGGGATTAGCCAGCGGGAGAAGGCGGAAGAGGTAAGGCGGAACAAACCCAGATCAGGCCAGATTGGACCGGGTTTCGGCCACAGATCAGATACAGTCGGACCTAGGCCAGAAGGACATCCCTCAAAAGCATGAGACCATCCGTCGGCCAAAGCAAACAGGACATCCAAGCGTACCCTCCCCAGCGTGCACAAGAGCATCCAACAAACACGAAGAACACGAGGGTACCCTCCCCGAACCGACCTCGATCTTACACCTCGGTCCGACTGTAGCCAATACCGTGACCCCCAGCCGCGCCGCCCAGCGCGCAAATGCGGACACTGAGAGGTCGCAGCCGTGCGCTCGCGTGAGATGCGTGAAAAAGGGCACACGGGCGCGCTGGCACGCGCTCTGGCGGCTCTTTCGCCCACACGTGTAGGAACCTAGTCAGGCCGTGATGGTCCGCATACCACTTGGCCTCTTTCCTGCGCGTCTCCGCGCGGGCACTGAACTTCCGCAAGCGTTCCGCCAGGTTCGCGAGCTGCCCTCGGGAAGGAAACTCCAGCCCTGGAAAGGATGACGTACGGGTGTAGCCTCGGCCCGTCCACATCGTGGCCTGTCCAAATGGTCGCCAGTGCCGATGCTCCAATTGAACCACCCAAGAGTTGCATCCACTTCGCCCGCTCCTCGGCGTCCTCCCTTTCCCCTCCCGCTCCTGTCTTGTTTCCTGCTTCACGGTCATGATGCGCACCCTTTGTTCTGCGTCACAGTCGAGCGGGTGTACTTGAGATCTCCAGGCCACAAGAAACCCGCCACAAGAAACCCAACCCTGGAAGCCCAGGGAGAGTCGCGCTTTCCATCGCAAAAGCATCGAGATCCAAGAAACCCAGAGCACCCTGGAGGCAAGCAGGGTGTTTCTTGGCATGGGCTCGGGCTCCACAACGCCTCGCAAATTACGCCAGGTTCGCGCCCCCGCGGCCACAGCCCCTCGCGAATTGCAGAAGATTGCGGTTTGGAAGCCACCCGTGCAGAGCAGAAAACTAACATCCTGTGCGCAGGGATGAGTATTCGGGGAGCAGTCGTCGGCCCCCTCCCGTCGTCTCCTGGGAATTCGGCTCGAGGTTCGAAGACACGAACCCTTTGAAATAGCTAGGGGCGCGCGCTCCCGAAGCCCCGAACCTCGTAAATCACAGTAGAAGCGCACTCCCACGGCCACCAGTGCCTGATTTTGTGCGACAGACGCGCACTACCAGCCAGCCAGCAAACAGCCCAAATCGATTGACAAATATCGCTCCCGCCTGCGGGCTGGGCCGTGCGAGACCTCTCTGGAAGAGGGCTGGGCTCAGTGGTCGGCCTCATTCGCCAGAGCCTGGCCAAGACCTCCCTGAAAGCCCCTCCCAGGGGGCCCCACTCTGGCGGTCCCTCGCGGAGCCCCCTTGTGGCAAAGGGCTCCGGCGGCCTCAGAGGGCCCCAAGACGACCCAAGAGGGCCCCGAGACGAGCCGAGAGTCCCAAGAGGGCCCACAGACAACCCAAGGGGGCCCGAGATTGCCCAAGAGCGCCCAAGACGGCCCACGATGACCTCAAGACGCCCTCAGAAGCCCCCAAGACGCCCCAGGAGAGCTCCAAGTTCACCCCCCGCGGGGGGCCCAAGAGGTCAGAATCAGCAAATGTCTTCGAATGTTGTAAGGATTTTGGCGCTCTCATCGTTTCGAGCTTTCAGCACTTCAAGGCAATCCAGCAGGGCTCCAAGATCGCCCCAAGACGGCCTAAGAGGCCCCCGTGAGAGCTCAAAAACGGCCCAGGAGGGCTTGAAGACGACCCAGGGATAGGTCGGACATGTCCCCCTACAGGCGGATCTTGGACGAAAAATAAAACATTTATTAAAAATGAACCCAAAAAGGTTAAATGTTGTCCAGAAAACGTCCCCTGAGTTGTTTTACTATTTTTTGAATATTCCCCCTGTAGAGGGACGTGCCCGACTTCAGCTCAGGGAGCACCTACAAGGACCCACGAGGCCCTCAAAAGGGCCCCAAGAGGTGCCAACGAGCGGCCCAAGAGGCGAAAGCAAAGGGGCTTCGGGAGCCTGTCCCCGAAACATTGCCGCCGAGACCCTCAACATGCCCCCAAGGGGCCCCCAAGACACCCCCGAGAGGCCCCCAAAACGCCCCAAGAGGCCCCAAAAAGCCCCTCCTACCCGAGAGGCCTCCCAAGAGACCCCAAGAAGCATCCCCAAGAGGCATCCCAAGAAGATCCCAAAGTCTCAACAAACCTCCTGAGGACTGAACACCAAAGGCCCCCAGCCTTCAAACAAACCTGTCCCCCTACCACTCGCATAGCGAACTCATCAGACCCCCAGGACACCCATCGACAGCCACCCAGGACGCTTGAGCAGCGGTCAGTCGCCAAGCAACTCTTTGCCCACACGTGCACCGCACTCCTATGGAGCGGCCGGTGATGCGCCGCGGGCGTCCTCGAGAAACACGGTCCGCTCTCAATGTGCAGCTCTCGCCTAGGCTCTGCGCACATCATCTCTAAATGTTCCCGACATTTCTGCGGACGGATAGAGGCCATTGTTCTAGTTTGGATGTTTGCTTTAGAAACTGTCAGGTGGTTTGACCAACGTTTAATTTGTGCAGCACGCACACGCATGGACGGCGGTGTGCACTGCAATTGCGAAGATATCGCTGATGACACCATGGCATGTTCACAGTCGCGCAACAACTACAGGGATGCATCTATGTAACTGTTGCGCGGACTCCATTGGAGGGCTGTCCCTGGAGAGAAGACCTCCAACTGGAGAGAAGACCTCAAACTGCGCTGATATTACAAATGTGTGGCTTCGAGATATGGCTTGAAGAACGAGGGGCGGAACCCCAACCCTTCTCAAAACGGTGGTCTCGCCTGCATGCCATATGCCCATGGGGCATGTGTTATCAGGCGGGCGCTTCCAGCAATGAAAAAAGTCTCGGCTTGGACATGAAGGAGGGCGACTCGGGACGGAAGGGCGAATCGCTGCATCGTTGATTAATCGTGGGTGTACTTTGGCATTCCTCCGCATCCTCCGTCTCACCATCATTGCGCTCAGCATCGCCTGCATCGTCGTCATCCTCATCACCAATACCATCACAACATCATCAACATCATCAGCGCCATCATCATCGTCACGACCACCACCACCACCACCATCATCATTATCATTGTCGTCGTCGTCATCATCACCATCACCTTCACCATCACCATCACCATCGTCATCGTCATCGTCATCGTTCTTACCATAATCGCAATGGCCAACCGTTTCATCACAACATAACCCGCGACATCATCATCATCATCATCATCATCATCATCATCATCATCATCATCATCACCACATCGTAGTCAACATCAGCATCGCCATCCCCAGACTCGTCATTACCATCACCACAAACCAACATCATCATGGTCATCGCCGTCATCACCGTCCCACTCCTCACCATCATGTTCATAATCATATTCATCTTCATCACCATCTTAATCCCCATCATCATCATCCTTCTCCTCCTCATCCTCATGGTCATCATCAGCAGCAGCATCATCACCATCACCACCACCATAATCATCGTCGTCATTAATAATTGTCATCATCAGCATCACCACCACCACCACCGTCATCATCATCAGCAGCAGCAGCATCATCATCATCAGGTGGAGGAGAATGCGCGCGAGACACGGGAGAAAAGAGCGGGCGCCCAGACCCGCACTGTCCTCGACATTCGGCTCCCTCCTCCTCCTCCTCCGTTTTCTGCTCGCCTCCTTTGGGTCTTCGCTGGCAACGGCCCAGCGAATCAGGGCCCAGGTGATTGAGGCTAGAGCTGGGCGAGATCAAGGGCCACAGGGCGGCTCCGCCCTCAAACTCCAGTCGGCATGACGCTCTCGGGCTGCGTTCACTCTCCTCCCGCCTCAGTTCCTCCGCAATTGCTGCTCAGCTCCTCCTGCGGTCACAACGGTTCGTGCTTCACCCCCAAAAAAACCGTCTGTGCCCCGCCGGCTCTTTCACCACCCGCTAGAGCGACGTCACCACCTGCTCCTTCACCACCCTCTGCGTTTCGCCGGCTCCTCCTCGACTTTCCGTCGGTTCCTCCTCCTCCTCCTCGTCCTCCTCCTCCTCCCTCCTCCTCCTCCTCCTCCTCCTCCCCTCCTCCTCCTCCCCCCCCTCCTCCTCCCCCTCCCACTCCCCCTCCCCCTCCCCCCTCCCCCTCCCCCTCTCCATCCCTCTTCCCTGCCCACTCCTCCATCCTTCCAACTACCCGCGACGCCGCGACACTGTCACCACCAATCTGCGCACCAACAGGGCACAGGGCGACGAAGGGGCAAACGAAACAGGATCCACCTCCCTCCTGTCTGGGGCGCCGAGATTTATATACGTATACCGTCCCTGGCCAGACCCATCCTGGACCCAGTAACTAAGCCAGGCCAGTAAGGGGCAGTGTACATGTTTAGATCCCGTCGCCCGAGTCTCACTCCCTCTTATCCGCCTCCCCTCCCCTCCCTCCTCCATCCCTCTCTCCCTCCCTCCTTCGAAGCGGCCAGGGGCTCTGCACTGGATGGACCCCGAAAAAATCAGTCAAGAAAGAGGGCCGAAGACAAATCCGCTCAAAATCGGTCCCTGGACCCTCCTGGGGTCGAAACCGGCAAGACTGTCAAGCCACGTCCAGTCGTGACGACGAAGGGGCCCCTTTCTCCCACCTCTGTTGCTGGCTGGAACCAGTGCTGGGCCACCTCAGCCCCCCAGCAGGCTCCAATCAATACGCCAATATGTACCAGAGGGGGCCGAGGCCCTCCCGAATTACGGACCGTCGGCAAACGAAGACGGCCATAGGGAGGGGCGCCAACGTACCTCCTCAACTCTGACCTTGATACCTGAAGGCGCCAACTGCCACCATCAAGTCGGCCCGCGCCTTCTTAAGAAGCAGGGGTGCTTCTAAGAAACCTCCCCCTACCCCCTTTTGCGCGTGGCCGACAACGGCTCGAACTCCAGAGGCCTCCCAAATGGGGTCCGAGTTGATGGGGTCGGACGATGGCGCCGCATCTTGAGCAGGGACCGACCGTCCCGGCATAGGCCTACCACGAAATTTTCTTTGAACCCATAAGAGCAAAAACAAAGTTCTTAGAACATACACCCGATGTGTTAAAACACGACGGACTCAGCCAGAAATGTTCTAAGAACATTTCGTGCAAACCACAAAAGGTTCTTAGAACATTATTTAGCGGGCCTATAGGCGAGCCGGGGCGCTTCGCCACTGCTTGAGCATCGCCAATGCATCGCCGATGCATCGGCGATGCACCGGCGATGCATCAGCGACGTCGGCGACGCATCGGCGCCGTGGGCGTGGGGAGAGCCGGGCTCCGCATCGAGCCGCATTGGCGATGCATCGGCCATGCGGCGCGGTCCTCCGACTTCGTCTACTCCGACCCCATCTAGGAGGCCTAGAAAATCCCTCCCTCCTCCTCCCTCCTCCCTCCTCCCTCCTCCCTCCTCCCTCCTCCTCCTCCTCCTCCTCCTCCTCCTTCTCCTCCTCCTACCCCTTTTTTACGTCAGCCGTTAGCCCGACCTAAGGTTTCCCTGTGGCGCTCACGAAGTGCAACAAAAAAAACAATAGAGCGCGACTCGGGTCAAAGTGTACCTGGCGGGCGCCGCGGAAAATAAAATAATGAAAAACGAGGCCGAATCGCCGCCGTCGCCGTCGCCGCTCCCCTCCCCTTTCCCTGGGCCCGTCGCCCTTTCCCCCTCTTTCATCGCGCCCTTCTCCTCAAGCAACTCAGCCACAGCGAAATTCAGCAACGTCGTAGTTGAGTCGTAAGCAAGCCTCTTCCCTTTGATCCCTTCCGCGGGGGGGGTCCCGGGTCAGAATACCACTCCCCCCTGGGGGCCTGGGGCCCAAAAACGTCCCAAGACGAGCCAAGAGTGCCGCAAGAGGCCCCCAAGAGGCCCCCGAGAAGCCACAAGACGGTCCAAGAGGATCCCGAATCGCCGAACGATCGGTCCAAGACGTCCTTACGACCTCCAGACGGCACTCCCGCGAGAGACCAAAGAGGCAAAATTCTTTAATTTTCCCAGAGTGTTTCGAGGATTTGGGCGTTCTCGCTTTTTCAGCTCCCAACGCTCCACGACGGCCCAAGAGGCTCCAACGATCGCCCCAAGAGGCCTCCCAGAGGGTCCCGAAACGGGCCAAAGAGGGCCCGAAGACGGCATCAGACGCCTGCAAGACGGCCCAAGAGGCCCCCAAGAGGGCTCCAAGAGGGTGCCCGCACAGGGGAACCAAACGGACATTTCGAGCCCTCCGCCCCGAGAGGCTCCCAGGAGGCCCCAGGAGGCCCCCAAGAGGCCCCCAAGAGGCCCCAAGAAGCCCCCAAGAAGCCCCCAGGAAGCTCCAAGAGGCTCCCAAGAGGCTCCCAAGAGGCTCCCACGAGGCCTCCAAGATGCTCCCAAGGGGCCCCCAAAACTGCCCCACAGAGGCCCCAGAGCGTCCTGAAGAGACCCCAAACAGAATCCCTGAGGACTCTGACCCACGTCAGCGTCGTCGTCATCATCGTCGTCGTCGTCGTCCCTCTTCAGGGTCGGCGGCACCGGCCGTAAGGCCTTCGCAATAGTAAAAGACGAGGCCGAGATTAGTATGAAGAGTAGGCGCCCGCCAGGTCCTCGAGATAGGCACTATCTTTAGTAACCAAGTACCCCCATTCAGTTAAAGTAAGACATGTCCACCCCCCACCCCCCAAATTTTGTCGGCAAGTAGCAGCAAAAACCATGCAAAGAGCAATGCCGTGCCTGTGGCAGTAGTAGGGTTGCTGCCCAGGGCTTAAGGTTGATCCCAAACAGCAGGTAAACCCGCCTCAACCTCCCATCATACAGTTCAGTGAGACCCTCACCGTCTATTTTTCAGTGTATGTGACATCTGGTGGCACAATAGAACAGGCTGCACATGGGAAAAAAAAATTGGCTGTAGCAGTCCTTGGGTTGCTGACCAGGGTTCTGGCTGACCCCAAACCGCGATAAAATAGCAGTTAATGGGATGCTGCCCAAGGTTTTGGTGTACCCCAAACCGTGGTGAAGAGAGTAGGGAGAAGGAAATATGTCTAAGAAGGACAT